ATAGCAAGTATTCATGTGAAAATCGATTATCGCTCAAGCAGAACATATTTTAAATAGGGGAAATCTTAATGAGAGGGCCCCTAAATATCTCGCATTGCTAAGAACTGCAATCCGCACGAGAGGAGTAAGCAACAGATACAGCGAAAGATCGAACTGTATTAGGTAGCTACTCCACGGAGACAGAATGAACCACTCGCACACACAAACATCGAAACATCAAATAAGAGAGCCCCACTTCGTATAACTAACGCACAAGAACTGCAGCGCGCCACGAATAAGAAAGTAACAGATACAGCGAACAATCAAACTGTATTAGGTACTTCCCTCACGCAATAGTTAGATTCAATCGATCAACATCGCACTGATAATCAACTCCTCGTGAATACAGAAATAAAACAAAATAATGGCATAATCACCTGTACAGTAGGTATAAAAAACACGATTCATCTAACGGTAAGTACTCAAAAACAAAAGCATGGAGTACGCCATATTTAGATATCGCAGTTTATGCAAAATCAGCAAAATGTAAATAATATCAAATTGTGGAAACAAATTCGCAATGATTAATAGTTAGTACAAGAAAGAATAAAATGGTTATTATATATATGTCGTAGTCTTTTAGTGAAATCCGTCATTTCACGAAACGCCTAGTTCGAGGCCTAGTCATTTAGTGAAACTCTGAAAATTTGTACGTGTGGGGTAATTTCCCTTCCCCTTCTAGATCGATAAGGATACCATTTATCGATTTCCAATGGGAACGGAATCCAATCGCTTGGCCCTGGAAAGTACACTGTGCCACAGTTTCATATAAATGACTAGGCTTTTCGTGAAATGACGGATTTCATTAAAAGACTACGACATATATACAGTGAATTTTTTTTTAATGCGAACATAGGAGTTTGCATGCAATGTAATTTCCCTATGTTCGATTTTTAAAAAAACACATCAATCTATTGAGTAGTTCAAATGAGTAGTAGATACAATTGACAGCTGTCACATTTTTGAAAATACCGCCGTCCAATTTAATTACGAAATCCGTTAGGTTATTGCTTAGAATGCCAAGGAGGACACTTCCAAAATTTATTGTAATTGTTTTCGGTATTTATTTTCTTATTTTCTTCATTTATGTATTGAATAAATCAAATTAGTAGAATACTAGGTGCACATGACCTACAAATAATTGAAGGTTGGTTCACAATGAATTGCGATGTCAGCGCGTGCCATGTGAAGTCAAGTTATCGTAAGTTTAAGAAAATTTATCCTAAAGTTGCTATGGCCTCACACGGCTTATTTAAAAAAATCTTACCGAGTGCTCTTCATCATAAAGACTATCAGTTGCTGTTCATAGTCACACAAGTTGTACGATTTGGGAATGTGAACCGCGCACACCTCATAGATTGATGTGTTTTTTTTAAAAAATCGAACATAGGGAAATTACATTGCGTGCAAACTCCTATGTTCGCATTTTAAAAAAATTCACTGTATATGGTTACTACTTGCTTAGTGTAAAGAATTACACTATGCTACTTGTAATTACACCTTCAAAACACCACAACCAAAAATAATCAAGAATAAAAACCGGGAACGCGTGGTGCCTTCCGTTATATCTTAGTGCTATTCTTACACTATGGTTATATACAGTGAATTTTTTTTAAATGCGAACATAGGAATTTGCATGTAATGTAATTTCCCTATGTTCGATTTAAAAAAAAACACGTCAATCTATTGAGTAGTTCAAATGAGTAGTAGATACAATTGACAGCTGTCACATCTTTAAAAATTCCGCCGTCAAATTTAATTACGAAATCGGTTAGGTTATTGCTTAGAATGTCAAGGAGGACACTTCGAACATTTATTGTAATTGTTTTCGGTATTTATTTTCTTATTTTCTTCATTTATGTATTGAATAAATCAAATTAGTAGAATACTAGGTGCACATGACCTACAAATAATTGAAGGTTGGTTCACAATGAATTGTGAGGTCAAGTTATCGTAAGTTTAAGAAAAATGTATCCTAAAGTTGCCATGGCCTCACATGGCTTCTTTAAAAAAATCTTGCCGAGTGCTCTTCATCATAAAGACTATAGAGTTGCTGTTCATAGTCACACAAGTTGCGCGATTTGAGAATGTGAACCGCGCACACCTCATAGATTGATGTGTTTTTTTTAAAATCGAACATAGGGAAATTACATTGCATGCAAACTCCTATGTTCGCATTTAAAAAAAAACTCACTGTATATGCTTCCGCCGACCACGTCGCCATCTTCTTTCTTCCGCCATGGCCACGCTCTTTTTTCCCTAGCTTCGTTGCGAAAATCCTCTAGTATTCGGCACCTGCGCAAAACGGTCGATTGGTTATATACAGAGCATATCATATTTTTGTTTCAGATGTAAAGGTGTGTTGCCTAACCATAAGGGTGGATTTTATCACAACTGGAACTGCAGTTATTTTTAGAACCGGAACCGGTCCAGATTCCCGATCCTAACCACAACGAATCGCCGCGCGGTGTCCGCGGTCTTTTGAACTACCTTTTAAATCGGGGGTTGGAAGTAAAATCTATATGAAATACAAGTTTCGGTTCCGCACTATTCGAGCAGCATCTACCCGTTCGGGTTCTGTGCCTTAAGTAATTTGTGGTTCTGGTTCCATTTTTTTTCGGTTTTTAAGGTTTCTAACATAAATAAATAAAAAATAAATTATAGGAAAAAAATAATACACAAAATTAAAGTACGTACATTATTATCCGGCATAATAGTATATTGAAGGACAAGTGTTACAATGCGACCTATTGTAATACGACTATCTTGTGGCACGAGTGGCGACGCGAAGCGTAGCCACGAGTGTCCGCAAGATAGGAGTATTACAAAAAGCATTGTAACACGCGTTTTTCATACTATTTTTTCTATTTCGGTGCTTTAATTTAATTAAAAAAATCATTATCAGAAACTAAAGGGAACATTAGAACTAACATGTTTTATGTTGGGAACACTTTTTATGCCGTAAAGTTTTAGGTTGGCAGCGTTGTAAGACTGACATTTTGAAGTTCAAACATGGAAGTATTGAGTACATACTTGTACTAACTAGTAACTGCCAACTTAAGAGATGCAGATGAGTTACCAAAAAAAACGACATAATCACTGTCTTTGTACAACTGTTTTCGGCCGAAAACAGTTGTACAAAATCATCATTGTGACACCGAAATAGAAAAACATATTTTTTAGGTTTGATTGAAACTTCTGTTTAGCTTGCGCGTTCGTTTCACCTCTGTCAACTGCCCGCGTTTTCCTATTTTCTTTTTCTTTAGCAGTAGTTTCATCTATTGGAATCTTCGCACATTCTTAAACCCTCTTACCTTTTTGATTTGATTATGTTCATTTTATGTCTCGTCCTGCGACGTTCCACTTGCCTTTTATGAGTACCTCTTCCGACACTTCGTTCTCAAGGTATTTGCTTTGACTTCACCAATATGTCTCGTCCAGTCTATTCATTTTGCTCTTTGAGAGTACTTTCCTCCGACACACCGTTTTCGAGATATTCGGTCTTAAAGTTTTGACATCAACACTCTACACATATATTTCTTCCAGACGTCTCAACCGCCCGTTGTGAGTACCCTCTTCCGACAATCCATTCTGGAGATATGAGGGAATATATCGGATCACGATACGGAGTCGAGAAGGAACGAGGACTATGGTTGGCAGAAATTAATTCCTTTAGTTGAGACCTTTCATTAGAGTACCACTTCCACTCGCACACACAAGTGGGTGTTGCTCTTCCTTTCACTTGCTGTTCTCTTTTCCCCTTGGTTTTGGGAAGTATATGGGAATGGCCCTGGGCGCCGTTCAAGAAGGAGGCGCTAAAATCGCCAATTATTAAATTTAAAAGTCATGATAAACCACAATAAACGACATATCAACAATCCCATGGAATGAATGGCGGACGCAAGGGGTGCCGATATAGGAGGCACTTGTTCCTTCGAATACTACATTTCGCGTGTAGTTTATTTTGCATGTTTTAATTAATCTCGGCTGACCGATTGTTATTTAAGCTTAAAGCAAGCCTGATGAGCAGCCCGCCTCCGACGTCTCTGTAGTCACGGTATCGGAGGAATGAAACACGATGACCACAAAATTCAGTCGACTTCTGTTCCTCATTGCGAAGAACACTTTCTGGTTCTACTATTCACTCATAGCGTGCGACTCCAACACTTACTGTTCGTCCATAGCGTAAGTTCTCCCCAGGTCATATTATCTGCTTTTTAGGGGAAATTTTTCGAAACTCGAGAACAGAGAGAGCCATATCAAACCTTCGCCAATCGATTTCTATAAGTTCAAGTGCTGTTGAATATGAGCAGGATTAAAAGTCGTGTTTCCGAATTCGAGCGGTGCACAAAAGATTCCCCCACTGAAAATCGTATGCGTTTCTTCATATCTTGTTTTATATTAAGGTAATTTACGAAAGGTGGCCTGGGAGGCGCAATTTTAATACTTGCCCTAGGCGCCATTTGGGCCTACGGCACTGAGTACAAGTGGGCACTAGTGCTAAAATATCTTCTTGGACGTAAAATAGCGCATAATAAATACTTACGTACCTATTAGGTTTTGTTTTAGTAAATTTTAAGGTAACAGCTCTTTAGGTGTCACGTGAATCTACACGGGTCATCCGCCGTCATCATATGCTCCCAATGGACCACGCTGTATGTACGCAAAGGACACTGGCTTTTGAATGAAATAATCGATTCTTTATTAGCCAAGTCTTATCTTTACTTGTGTACTTATATTTAATGCTCAAGTCCTCAAGTCCGTTTTAAAATCGGCCGTAAAGCGGTTTAATTCAGCTCCAAGTCTTGCGTAAATAATCGCATTTAAATTTGTATGAATCATCTAGCGTTAAAGTGATTAGGTATAGAATATTTCAGATTAAGTACTTAAAAATATGTTTTTATTTACTCTTCTCCTTCTACACATCAAATGCCGTGTTTGGCGGCAATCAAATCACACAACATATATCACACGTTTACTAATAACTTACGTTTTCTATTTAATTTAGTCAAAATTTAACCTGATTGAATGAATTTGATGATATAAATTACAAAAATGAGTCGATGAAGGTGGTTGCAAATAATACTAAGCAAGATGAAGCGCGGGTTGCGCGTGGAAACTGTAATTTTTGTAGCACCACTTGAGCTGATCCCAAAACACCAACGATAATACCGTATGGGGCCCAAGTCGTACGTATCCCGCCCAAAATCCTTTATACATCCCGAAAATTCCTTCGGTTTTAACGATTTTCAACACGCAGTCCAAGTAACCTTTGTATAATAAACCGCGACCTTTGGTATCGACACCTTGATTGTATAATCTCGTCGATATTAAGTCGAAAGGTGTAATGAATGTCGTTGCGATAAAACCTCCAATAAAGCTAGCGGTAAACGTTGTAAGCAGTGGCGAATTGTAATACAGGGGATGTCGCTTTAGCCAATTTTTGCAATACTCAAAGCTGGTCAGTTGCGAGGTTGATCCAACGAAATTTCTTGGGATCGCCGACGCTGTACCTCTGAATAAACCTTTTATCTGCAATCCGAGCGCGTGTTAGTTGATTATCCAATCTTATTTTGCAAGTTACTCACCCCTTGTTGTCTATAGATATTTCTGAACGCGTCTATTGTACCATCGTGGTTGTGCTGATGTCCAAAAGAAATTTGTTGGGCGGCTTGTGTTTGTAAATGAGTCTTGATTAAATATAATGGACTGCCAACAACCGCGCCGAGAGATCCGCAAACTCCTCCCAGCAATATTGTTCTATGTAATACTGTTTCTCCATTTTTATTCTTTGTAAAGCCTTTATCGCTTAATGTCTGAAACAGACCTACGATTTCTATTAGTAAAAAATTTCAGCGGGAAAGAGGGTTTTACCTAAGCGAATTCCATTTAGGATGAACTGAAACCATTGGGCTGGAACTAGTCCAGCCTGAAGTGCTAAAATTCCATCGTGTTTCGCAATTACCATACCGGCGTTAAAAAAATTCCTGTACTGCACTACATATTGGCCTCTTGTCGCCAACTCCCCTTGAATTTGCATCCTCGTTTTCACCAACTCCAACGGGTTTGTGAAAAAACCGGAACCAACTGCAGCGAGGCCTCCAATAACAAAATCCATTTTTACTGCACGATGAAAATCGGTTAAAATAATCCAAATAGCAATACGCTAATATACCAGGGGGTGATAAAATGAACTACTTGCTTAGCAGTGTGAATTCTAAGAGTGAAATGTTTATTTTAGCTTTTTATTTAGCTATATATGTTCAACGGGGTTAGGGTCATTCATTCCTCAATCAGATAAATTGAATCAGGCTGGAAAATCCCTCATGTGAATTATTGAACTTTCCAAATTGACGCTAGTTATTCAATCAACAACCGTTTTTGCACACATTCATATTACAAAATTTAAACTTACTGTATTTGCAGTGGGTTATCCCCTAAAGTTTAACGTTGACTTTAACGATATGGTAATTGACAATGTAAATTTTCATCTCTGCACTAAACACGGGAAAACTCAACTGGAACTGCTCGATATTTGAGTGATGTTTATACCTACTTGTCGGACACAAATCGGACGTCATTTGTGATTGCAGAAAGAGGGGCATAATCGTTGCTTCCAATTATTGGTACGTAATTAAATAAAAATTAGAAAATCCGTGGAATGTTGTGGTGAAGCTGTCGATTTTTTTAGCAATTTAACATTATAAATATACTCTAATGCATTGACCTTAAAAGATAACGTAAACGATAAGTTAATTTTTTTAATATGTATCCGTATTTACTCTCTTACTATGTGGAAGTATTCCATGACTGAATGAAAATTTTGAAAAAAATAAGGTCTTAATCAATAATTTTTCTTAAATGGCGGATTATAATGTTATCGGATAACAAATTTATTTAAAGAAATAACGGTCTAATCATTGGCGTAACTTACACTTTAAACTTCGCTTTAAACATTTTGTTGTGAAATTATAAATCTTGGGATTATGTTATATGTAAAAATCTCTTTGCCGTGGTTTAGTGGTACATTTAAAAAATATAAACAATCAATAATTATGTAATTGAATTATTTTTAGCACGGTCTCAAAAATAGGTGGTTTTATCAGATCTTAAAAGTTGTCGAATTACTTTCTATGCTGGGATGGTCCTGAGTTTGGAGTAAAAATATTTTCTAGGTCACTTGTCCCAAAAATGGCAGCAAACATGGTTCGATAACAACATTTAACATTTTACCTATTTACTACCCAGTACCCAGGAGTATTTATGCATATTAAAATTGCATTGTTGCTGGGGAAAGCACACACTTTGGATCGAAGATTTTCAAAATTTTCCCCAGTTCGTTGGGCAAACGATCAATTACAGGTGTATGTAATTTTATTTTGTTTATAGTTCTGCCTGGAGCGCCGAAGAGCAAAATTTTTTGTTGCGGTCATTTTCTTTCATCGAGACATTTTTCTCTTCAAAAATGTGAGGGATACTTCGATGTAATCTCCCTATTGTAGATATAAAAAAAAAGAGTTTAAGGCAAAACAAAATTTATTTTTCCACACATGTTCAGGGTGGTTCAAATTCGTGGCTCACCATTGGGACCTCCGTCACGGCGAGGAATACAATGTAGGTTAAATGGGGGCAAATTTGCCTCTTTTTGTGACAAAAAAACCCATTTTTTGAAAAATCTGAACTTATCTGAGACATCACTGAAAAATTGAAAACTTCGTTTTCATTTTCTCTAGTTTAAACGGTAGGAAATGGAAGGTTTTCGTTAGCATCTTCTTAGTCACTTTTTTCGGAGAATTTTAATTTGTTATCAGAATTTTTACAACACGCTGGGTCTAGAAACTACAGGATAGTTACTTTTTTATTTCTTATGGACGCCATATTGAATTTTTACGGAATGAGATTTACGGAGAGAGAGTAATACATAATAATGACGTGTCACACTATGGATTTTACATAAATTTACCAGAAAAATTCAAAATCAATGCACGGGTAACAAGATCTTGCTGCATCAACATGGCTGTGATAGCAAATGAATTTTTTGTTCTCCACCTCAACCTTTAAAAATCGTATATGGCGTCCATAAGAAATAAGAAAGTAGCATATAGCTTTTACATCTAGCGTGTTATGGAAATTCTGATAACAGATTCAGATTTTCCGAGAAAAGCGCCCAAAGAATTTCCGCCCATTTCCTACCGTTTAATACGCTTGGGAAAATGAAAACGAAATTTGATATTTTCAGTTTTTCGGTAATCTCATACGTAAAAATTTCAAATGACTTTATTTAGTCACAAAAAGGGACAGCTTTTGCCCCCATTTAACCTACACTGTATCTCACCATTACTGAGATCCCATTGATGAACCACGAATTTGAACCAATGAAGATCATGAAACATTTTTCAGGTCAGCGTCAGAGGCAAATCTTGTCTCGTAAGTCTATTTGAATTTGACGAAAGGATGCCAATCGAAGGGTGCTAAATTCGGACTCAACTCCTGAAAGTCATGTTCATCGATAACTTGTCTTATTGTTTGAACCCTGTGCGCTCTGCAATTGTCCAGCTGTATACCTATGATCTAATCGGCAAATTTCTGGGGCCTTTTCTTTCGAATTAAAGATTTTAAGAATCTCTTTATAAACATCGCCGCTATTTGCTTTTTCACGTATTCAATTAATAAAGTCCCCTTACCACCTCAGAAACCGTAGTTTTCAATTTTCCGACAGAACAATGCGTTTTTTGGTCTGATAGTTAAAAATTATTGAGGTCCGTTATTGATTTCATGGCTAAGCAGATATACATAAAAATGTCCCCTCGTATATTAATAGTGATATATACAGTGAGGACACAACATTTTTGAGTTGAAACAGACAACTTGATATGTCAAAATGGCAGCTTCGCATAATTTTGAATTATTTTTTTAATGGAATAGTGTGTCATGTGAGCACTTTTTAGAATTTGAAAACATTTGTTCCATTCGCAAGCACGTTTTTTTTAGAACGACAATAATCCAGCTACTAAAATTTTTTTTTTTTTTTAAATTTATTATTGTGTCTCGACAGCAAGGCCATTGACACGTATATAGCGAGTACAGGTAAATACAGGGATTTACATTAGATGCACTTGTACAAGTTTGTTGATTTCAGAAAGTTTATTACATCGTAGATCTGGTTGCTTAGGATGCTCTGGAGTGTTTCACTGAGGTGGTGGTCAAATGTTAAATTTAAAGGTAAAAGCCTTACGGCGTCTACCTTGAATGCATTTTCCATGAATTGATCAATACTTCTCGAAAGGCCATGTAACGGACTATTTATGTGTACAAAGAAGTGCAGTCTGCGCACACCTAATGTTTAAAATATGCGATATGTTTGCCTTTCCTCATGGAATCTTTGGTTAAACTTAAAAAATATCTATAAATAAGAAGTTGATATTGCGCAGTTTCCGCTGTTGTTAAAATTTAAAAAAAATATCTCTATAAATAAGAAAATTACCAACCGCCGCCGGAAACTACGGATCAAGAAATCAAATTATAAAATTGGTCACCATTTGGGGGGGACGGTGGACTTTATGTCCTCATTGTATATTTTTAAAAAATATTAAAAAGTCAAACACTGTTTCTACCGGTGACAGTTTCATATAGTTTGGGCCTGGGAAAAACTGGTTAGTTTTTTGGTAGATAAAATTTCATATGAAAGAGCCTACTTTGACCTCTTCTATACATTAAAAATTCCTAATAAATAAAAAAATCGATGTTGCATTGAACCGGTCATTCGTCAATTAGTCCGTCACTCTCTCACTTTTAGATCTTTATGGTATAAAAGATTTTGAATTCTGGATATGTGTCTGGTGACCGCAAGACCGACGTCCGTATGTATTTCTGTAGGGATTTTCTATACAGGGTGTTCCGGATGGCGCTAATCCTTTGGCTTATTTTATAACTAAAGGTTTATAGGGCCGCAAACGCTTCTTTACAATACAGATCATCATTTAGAACATATGAAAGGTCGCTGAAGTAAATAAAAATACAAGTACCGTTGAGTAACAACTTTCTCTCTCGAACAAAATACCTACCTATTAATTACCGTTCAAAGATAATGAAAACATTGCTGGTGTTCAATGGACGATACGGTTTTGTTGACATTTCATTGTGAATATGAACTGGAATCACTTGGGTAAGCGTATAGATGTCTCGATGTCCATATCGCTCAAAGACCCCGGCGTCCGTAAAAAGGCTCGTTCCTTTCCCCCTTTTAAGCTTCAAAGCTAATTCTTCAATTAATAATTTCAAGAAAAAATCCCCTTGCTAAATGATCGCTGATACCAAATGAAAGTACATACTAATTAACGATGTACCTATTTAGTCTAAATCTATAATGCGTTACTGTGAATAATTATTACATTCCCAAAATTCGTAAAACAGGAAAGCCCCAATTACGTCCGTCGACTTACGCAATCGTGACATGGTTATGGGAAAATTCAAAAACCATTTAAACAAACAGATAACTCATCCTTTCGTGTACATACAAATTTCAAATTGATCTTTATTTGCGGAAATAATAATTACGAGGGATTTCTAAATTTTCTCTCCCGAACATTCAATGTCCATCGTTGCTCCAGCTGTTTCTTCAATAAAAAAAATCACTATAAAAAAACGCTTCCGCGCTTCATGTAATTATTTGAGGCAAGTTTGCGGGCCTGGGGTATTTTCTTATACATATTTTAGTGAAAGGAAGTTGCACGAATTTTTTTTTCTTTTTTGCCACATGCGCCGCTGCCACTGAGATTAAACACGTTGAAAATGCTTCCTTCACTTCCCGATTTCAATTATAGCACTCGAATCTCGATTTAGACACTGGGTTCGTTATAATTACTGATGAAAAATTTAGCTTTTTGATAAAGCAAAAGCTCCAATTTAATGGTTACTCGGAAACAACTACTTCACTTCTTTAATACGACTTATATTCACTTTTATTACGACGTACATAGGTATTAGATAAATCTCTTATTGCACAACTAACTTTCTCCTGCAAAACTTTACAATTAAACAAGATTGACGCATTTTTTAAGAATTAAAAAAATTGTGCTATTGTTTGCGTTTTGTCCGTCCGTCCGTCCGTCAGTCCGGACCCACTTCTGCCCTTTTGAACTACTTCTAGGGAAATGGTCTCGCTGTCTAAAAGGAGGGCTCCCCCACGAATTATTTCCTGAGATGCGGTTTTTGAAAGTAAAACATGCATAACTTTTATATACGACAACCAATTGGTCTCAGATTTTGCATATGCATGCCTTTAGTGGTGCCAAAAATTAATTTTATCTCTCATTGTATTCTAATTAAAGGCCTCAACGAAAGGAACCGTTTTCTACCAACTACTGCCCTTCTCTCTGTCCTCTTATCAAAGTACGGGGTGGAGAGGGAGGGGGGAGTGGAACTAGTTTTATCTTTCATGGTACTCTAATGAAAGGTCTCAACGAAAGGAATTAATTTCTACCAACCATAGCCCTCCTCCTCGACCTCTTATCGTGATCGGGTATATTCCCTTATACCACAAGAACGGATCGTCGG